AGAACAACCATACCTGAAGTTAGCAGAGACTTAAGTTCTGTTGCAGATATTCGAAACGACTACCAACAACTTAAAGACAAACTTAAAACTCAGGAGAAGATTTGTCAAGCTTTAGGTATAATGTTAAACTTGGTCGAACACAACTGTAAAAGTGAACTCATATGTCATTGCACCTCATGAAAGTTTTGAAAAGAACTATTGAAACTTTTGACAGAGGCAGACGATATAAACATCAAAGAAATAGAACCCGACATTGCTTGCTGTGGTGTTTCATACAATGTCATTGACAAGATATACGTTATGAAAGGAGGTGAAACGTTGAACTTAAAATATAGTTTCCCAGACGTCATAAAAATATTTGACGACCACAACATTTCATTAAAATTTAGTTGCTAAGTAAATGGCAGAAGACATAGTGGTTTATACTATTACGACTAAAACCCTGAGTCATATAATTCTATAACAACAAACTTACAAAGTCCTCAAGGACGGTATTGTAAACTAACTTTAAACACAATGACGACTAAAGCCTGTTTTGCTCCTTTGACACCAGAAGATTTTATTGTTGTGAATGGTAAAAATACTTCTTGAAGATACTTACTTCAGATATACACCAAACAGGTTTTGTTGACTTATTTAATACTTTAAGGACGGATGTAACATGTGCTGCAACTAGAGCAGGTTTCATTATGTTTGGATGTCCGACTGAGTTTACTATAAACGATATGAGCTATAATACAAAACTTATATCTGGTTTTTTACTACCAACAGTTTCCTATAACAGGAAAAGGTGTCATACAAGGTTTGTCTGTTCATTGACTTTAAGTACACCTATTATTATATATTGTTTTCAAACTTAGGTTCAAAGTGCATTCGAATGTCGACAGAAACTAACTATGACCAAAAGATACTCATGCGTATAAACAACACTTTCTCTGCTGGTTTGCCTATTTTCATTCGAATGCAGAGTTTTCAGCTTTAGTAAACTCAAACACTTTAGCAAACATAAACTTAACCTTAGTTGACGCAAACTTTGTTCCTGTAAAACTTTTATGTCCTATATTTGTCAATGACGGCAGAAAGTTTCGAATTGGAAGATGCAACTGGTGAAAGTATTGTACTACAAAAGAACAACTTCAACAACAAATAGCTCAAGAACAACAAATGGAACAAATGGAACAAATGCAACAACAAAGTCGAGAATAAAAAAATATTTTTTTTTATTTTTATAAAAAGTACAGAATAGACGTTTCAGATTTTTATGACTTCCAAGCGTTCAGAAATATGTGTCCATTTAGAGACTATAACAAAGCAGTCGAGAATTTGAAACGTTTAGTCATTTATGTCGACTCTGCCCCAGAATGTTATGTCATGAAAGAATGGGATGTTGTCTTTAACAAACCAAGAGCGACAATAGTTTCAGAACAAGAATGTAGACAGAAACTTAAGAAAATAAAAGTCGTACAAGTTGGCATGAAGATGTTAGATGCTTGGGATATCTTATTGTCAAAGTTAGAAGATTTTTCAGTTCGTGGTATAAAGTTCTATACACCTTCTCCAAACTTCTATTCTATCTTCACTGGATATAAATACGAACAAGTAGAATGGAAAGAAAATGTTATAGAAGCTTGGTTAGACCATGTCAAAGAAATTATATGCAATGGAAACGAAAAGGTTTATGAGTATATCTTATGTTGGTTTGCAAATCTTACAACATCCAAGTGCTAAAAATGAAACTGCTCTCATTATAATTGGAAAACAAGGAACTGGTAAGAACACATTCTTTACAGATATCTTATGCAAACTGTTAGAGGGCTATTCGAACCCGAATATGACAAACTTAGAAAACATCTGCGGTAAATTTAACTCTTCAATAGAGAATATGAAACTTATAGTATGTAACGAACTTCAAAGTATAGATACAACAAAAGTTTTGAACTCAGATGCTTTGAAGAGTCTTATAACAGACAAAGTTGGAGTTGTTGAAAGAAAGTATAAAGACCAAAGAGTTTGTGAAAATGTTGCAAACTTCATTATGGTTTCAAACAATACGTTCCGATGAAGTTAGAAAGTTCTGACAGAAGATATGTAGTTGTCAGAACGTCAGATTCTCATATGCAAGATACAGAATATTTTGACGACTTAGCAGAAACTTTGACACCTAACTTTTACAACCACTTGTTCTCATATTTCATGACATTAGATATTTCAAAGTTCAATCCAAGACAAATTCCATATACCGAAGAAAGACAAACATTGTTAGAAGCAAACAAGAGTGTTTATGAACTGTTTATAGATGAGACTAACTTTGAGTGTTTAGATGAAAGGTCATTGTACGACTCGTATAAACAATATTGTCAAGAGTATGGTTATATGACAGCGTCTAAACGAACATTCTTGGCAAATGTCAAAAGTCTTTTAGACATACAGAACGGCGTATATACAAAGAAAAATTTTTATGAGTAAATTTTAAAAAAAATATTTTTTTATTCTGAAGAAAAGATGACAGAAAAATTAACTTTTTACATAGCGCCAAACCCTTCTTGCCCACATCTTTTTAAGCCACAATATATAGAACTAAATAGAGAAAGCGAAATTCTACAAACAGAAGAAACATATAGAGACCTAGATAACGAAAATGGATATGCGCTATTCTGGTTAGGTTGTACTTATGAAATGTATGAAAAAAAGGCTTTATATGAAGAATATAGAAAATATTGTCATGAAAACGATATAAGACCAAGCTCTAGAGAAAAATTCTATGCTGGTATAAAACATCTTTTCAAAGTTCGGAATGGTGTATATAGAAAGAAATAATTTTTCTGAGTAAATTTAAAAAAAATATTTTTTTTATCCGATAGAAAAGATGACGAAATTCATCTCAGTAAACAAGTACATGACAGAAGTCAAAGAAGAACTAGACCCATTCACATATTTGAATGTTTACTTCTACCATTTTGAAAAGTCTTCATTTGACAAAGTTTGGAACATCGAACCAGTTAAGTTTGCTATTGTGACTAAAAATGGTGCGAAATTTGAAGACTTAGACATAGAAGGTTTGTTAGCAGTCAAAGAAAATTTTGACAGAAGGTTCTCAAACCTTAAAGAAGGCAAAGCATACAAACTTGTTATACCTTATGAACCAAAGAAAGCAGACGACTATGAATATTATGAGTCTAAGATAGTTGAAGTTCAAGGTAAATTGGGTAAAAAGATTTTAGAGTCTAAGCCAGTGTTTGCTCCTAAAGAGGAAGAGAACATTGACATTGACCCAGAAATGTTCTAAAAATAAAATTTTATTTTTACATGTCAAATTTCTTTTTCTCTGGCTCTGGCTCTGGCTCTGGCTCTTTCTTCTCTTCTTCTACTTTCTTTTCTTTCTTCTCTCTCTTCTTCTTCTTTTCTGGTGGAGTTATGTCAAATTTCTCAGAACCATATTTATGTAAAAGTTCTTTGTCCTTTAATAGCTCTTCTATTCTGTTTCCTATTTCATCTTCAAGAACAGCGCATGTGTCTTCTTTGCATTCTAAGAACTTTTGTTGGACTTCATCTCTCCAAGAGGCGTCATCTCTGTCAACAAGTCTGTCATTGACAAACTTAAAGACTTCTCTGCCTAATGTTTTATGGTTCTTGTCATATTCCCAGAAACAGAACTTTAGAACAAATTCACCTTTCTTGTTTACACTATGTAAGATTTTATGGTCGACAGATGTTTTGCTGTCAAAAAGTTTGTCTCGAATATAGATAGCGAAATCGCTCGACATTTTCAAAAAGATAAAAATTTTAATTTTTCTAAAAATATGTTAGAAAAAAAGTTTGCTGACATTGACAAGAAATTTGAGAATGTTTTGAAGAAGAACAAGAGGAAGTTAGAAAATGCTCAGATAAAGCCTATACATGACAAGTTCTTATTTGCTCAGAATGGTATAACAGGTCTAATCGCACCACCTGGGTCGGGTAAGACTTTCACTTATCTTAAAATGGCTGCACAACAACAAGAACTAGATGAGAAGAACCCATTCTATGAGTTAGTTGTTATTTGTAGTACTTCTGGTCAATTTGACCAAACCGTCAATTCGTTCAAAGATATTATAAAGAAGTCTAAGTTAGTATGTATAAAGGATACTGAGTTGTTAGATTGGATAAAGAAGTACCAAAGAAGAGTTTTGAAGTATAATGCTATAAATGAGTATGTCAATTCTAAGTTTAAAGACCCAAATGAGGAAATGCAGAGAATATTAGAGAAGAAACACTTCAGAAACAAACAGAAAGAGATTGAGTACCTTTCGAAGAAATTGCAATCTTACGATTGGAAGACTTACCCTCACAGATGTCTTCTTATCTTAGATGACTTTGCTTCTCATCCTTTGTTAAAGAACAGAGAACAAGACATGTGTCGAATTCTTAAGAAGCTCAGACACTTTAACATCTCAGTTGTCATTTGTGTACAGACAGCAAAGAGTTTAAGTAAGGATGTTAAAAGAATACTTACTGATATCATACTTTTCCCTGGATTGTCCGAAGACGATTTCATGGAACTTATGAAAGAGTCCATGGCAGGTAAGTTTGACAGACATGAACTATGGGAGAAGTACAAAGTCATACAAGACCCTCATACTTCTTTCAGAATTCATATCTACGCGAACAAAGTTCAAATTGTAAAAAGTCAATAAAAATAAATGGTTCATTTACTCTGCTTGTTTGAAGTTGTCAAAATACTCTGTTATTTTTCACGATTTTCATACGGAATTCAATAAAAATATATTTTAGGGTAGATGGGTATATCTAACCCGTTTTCTACCCTCATTTCTACCCCAGTTATTTTATAAACGTTTTACATGGTAAACGTTATTTTTTAAATTTTGTGAAAACTCAACGGTTTGACACAAGCCCTAAAATATATTTTACTCAGAATTTTACTCAGAATTCAATAAAAATAATGTTTAGGGTAGATGGGTATATCTAACCTGATATCTACCCTCTTTTCTACCCCAGTTATTTTATAAGCGTTTTACATGGTAAACATTGTGAATTCGTGAAATTCTAAACAATTTCGTAGCTTCTATTTCTTCTGTCAGTACATCGAATGTTTTAACAATGCCGAAGGTTTCTTTATACTTCTTCTTGACATCTGAAAGAAGGAAATCGTCAGCTGTTGGATAGTTTTTGTTTAGAAATGTCAACATGTCCATTTTATCTTCTGCTGGTTTCTCTGCCTCCCTCTTTAAGTCAGCATAGTCGTTTCGCATACGTTCTATCTCTTTGACGGAGTAGTTATATTTCCTCATTGCTGCTTTACATTTAGAACATTGCGGGTTCATTTTTGCGTTATATTCTGAAACCTTACCTGCTAGTATGACTAAGGCGTCAATTGCTCTCTTTAACTCAAAAGTTGCGGGTTTTATCTGTTCATTCCATATCTTACCTCTTCTATCTTTATCTCTTATCTGCCATACACATTTTGCAACTAACGAAACAAAGTTGTCGTAGGTCTTAAACTCCCCAGATTTGTATATGTCAGAGATGTTCTTATATACCATATCGCAATCTTTGTCCATGACTTTGTGGTTGCAATGAAATCCAAGAAACTCATAGTTAACCTTTCGTATGAACTTCTTTATTTCTACTGAGTCAGTTGCTTTGACTTCTATTTCATCGAATTCTGGAATAGTAAGCTTTTGTTGTTGGATTTCAGGCAATTTGGGTAAATGGTCAATAATATCCTGCATTTCATAAAGATACTGTTCATTTGTTTCATCTTTCGCACTACAGTCTAAATTACTTGTTAAAAGTTCCTGCTTTATCTTCTGGATTTCTGTTTCGAAAGTATATGAAGAAGGAATGAAGCTTTTCATCTCTACTAACATTGACGTAGGATTCATGACTAAAGAGTTTGGTGCTGTTGTTGCTAACATGTTCTTACAATAAAAATAAAAAAATATTTTTTTAAAAAAACCAACTTTATTTTTTATTTCGGGAAAACTCATGACAAATTCAAGAGGGTAGAAAAGAGGTTAGAAAAGAGGTTATATCTAACCTTCTACCCTAAAATATATTTTTGCCGAATTCATGAGTTTTGGTTGAAAGAATACGGTGGAGCCAAAAGTGGCTCGACCTCAAAACAAGCATTTTCTGTATAAAATTCATGAAAATTCAAGAGGGTAGAAAAGAGGTTAGAAAAGAGGTTAGATATACCCATCTACCCTAAATTATATTTTTGCTGAATTCAGCAACAAAATTCAAATTGTAAACGGTTTAATAGAAAAAGTGTTATTTTTTCATGTCCGAAGACTCGAAGGTGCAACACTTCCAAAATACCGACGAACTCAGAAGAGCAGCATGGCAGTATGTTCTTGACAACTTCTTTGAGTTCTCCAGGAACACCTTGGAAAATGCTGAAGAACTCCGACACAGAGAATTTGGAGAAATTGCACTCCAATACTACCTTGACAAACAAAGGGTAAACAAAGGGTAAAATAAGACTAAAAACTTAACGTTTAAAAAGTGACATTTTTATGAGCTCCGAGTCACCGAGAAAACTTGGTCAGATGTTAGCAGCTTACTTCCCCGAGGAGGATGGAAGCGTTACATACATCAGGTTCAAAAACAACGAACCTGGAATTGCGTACAAAATTCGCAATTACATGACCATGGAAGAGTACGAAAGGTTCCTACAAGAGAAACCAGCTCTAAACAACTCAGAAAAGAAAGAGTAAAAAGTTTAACTCGTAATTGTTTATTTTTTTACTTGTATGGGCAAGCTGCAAGAATGAAGTCGACTATCTCAGTCTTTGTCTTGACCAGTTGGACTGCTCTTGCGAGTACGTCTGTTTTGCGGTCTCCAGCTGGTGTCTGACCTTCGTAATTGCGCATGTTCTTGAGAGCTCCAACTGTAAATGGCTGTAGGATGAAGAGTCTCTCAGACTGCTTGAGGTAGTCTTCACGGTCACGAACCGAATCTGTGGTACGAGTCGAATCGGTCGATTTGAGGGAAGAGACTGAAAGCCTGTCGTCTTCCATAGGGGCTGTGGCATAATCTTTGCGTAAGCGGTTCAGACCTTCTTCGAACTCTTGGTCTCTCTTCGATTGAGATTGGAATTGGAATTGCTGGGGTGGAGCTTGCTGGAACATCCAAGGGTTGGGGAAGTAAGGCATAGGCTGAGGAGGAGGGTAGTTCGGGAAGCCTTGTGGTGGGTAGTAACATTGAGGTGGAAATTGGTAGTAAATCGGAGGTACTTGCTGGAACTGAGGTTGCTGAGGAGACTGTTGTGGTTCTGCAGCTTTCGGTTCTTCTGGTTGGGATATGGGCTCGGTTGGTGGGACGTCGGACATCTGTTTGTGGCTTAACCGTCGGAAGGAAAAACCTTTCCTGTCGGAAGGAAAAACCTTTCCTGTCGGAAGGAAAAACCTTTCCTGTCGGAAGGAAAAACCTTTCCTGTCGGAAGGAAAAACCTTTCCTGTCGGAAGGAAAAACTTTTTCTGAAGTTCGACCAAAAGTTCTCAATTTTCGAAAATTTGAATGGTTTACGGACGGACAACTGGAAGAGTTCTTCCTGTCGTCGGGAAATTTTTTTCCAGTTGTCGGGAAAATATTTTCCTGTCGGATGGAAGGACTCGGAATACCAGAAGGATTTGACGAGGCAATTTACCTTATAGAGATAAATGAAGTTGTTAAGCAGTACTTGCGCAGGGTAATGAAGCCCAAGGTCAAGTTCACCACTATTTCTGGAAGGTCTACACTTCAGCTCGAGACTTCGACTGGAATTCCAATTCAAATACCAGACGGGACAGCCTACGATGGCATAAAGGACGCCAAAAGAGAAGCTCTTGTTAAGTTCCTAAACAAACGTCCTTGGATAAAAATACCAAACAAGGAGAACCCCCTACCCCATATGAAATTGGCAATTCAGTCTCTCCTTCACTTCTCGGGTCAGCCGTTCTACATAACCTGTGAAGGCGACATCCAACCAGTTCAGTCAACCTTAACGTTTTGAGTAAAAACATTTTTTTCATTTTTTGAATGAAGCAAGTTAAATTCGTCCCACACCAATCTCAATGGACCGATGAAGAGTTTCAAGCCATGGTTGAAGGCGTTGAGAACGACATAGACGGCGAACTTGAAGGAGCTCAAACCACAATTGCAACCAAAATTGCACAAGTCAAGGAACAGATAGCTCCACTTAAAGCTACCAAAGCTACTCTTGACCTCATGGATACTTACCGTTTAGAAGTAAAGAGTGGAATAAGACAATTAAAATTAAAACTTCTAAACTACGAAGCTATACTCCAAAAGTTAGCAGAAATGAGAAGACTTTACCAGAGCTACTTACATGTAAGGGACTTACCTTCAAGCAGTCCGACCAAAGATGAATTTTCTGACATTGTCCCAATTTTGTCCGAAAGTCAGCTCAGATGTTTTGAACTGCTCCCAACATATCCAGAATATGAACGTTTGCCTGAACTCTTCCGCAATCTCAAAAAACGTTTTTTGGTTCTCATGTTCGAAACTTTTATCGGAAGAGACAACAAACGTTCAGAAGAAGAACAAGATATTATTTTAAACTTGTTGTATGACTTAACCGTCATAACAAGCTTTTTGAAGTAAAACCGTCATTCTCAAACCACTTCATTTTTTCGATGTCCGAACAAGCACCGAAGCCAAACTCAATGGCAGATGTCCTTTCAATGTTGCCAGACAAGCGCCCAGTTCAAATTCAAATTTTGAATTTGAAAGCTCATCTGACAAACACCGTTAAGACTCTCCAAAGTAGTCTTATGGAAGAGATGAAGGGACTTAAAGGTGAGTTCCTCATGAACCAAGCTTCCAATGAGAAAGTCCTGAATGATTTGACGGAAACCTTGCGCATTTACGCGAGAGAGAACCGAGACCTTGCCAGACTCATCTACCGTTTCTTCGAAGAGATAGACGCCATCTGGAAGGTACTCGGAAAGGACAGAACCTCCAACACCGTAATTCGTGAGTACCAAATTGAAGAAGGAATTGTCGAGGAAGAAGAGGAAGAAGAGGAAGAAGAGAAACACGAAGAAGAGAAACACGAAGAAAAGGAAGTTTGGGCAACTCTTGTTGCCGATGACACTTACGAAATTTCCCAACCCTACCCATACAAAATCCGCAACAAGGAGACAGGCAAGGTTCTTACCCCAGTCCTCAACAACTTGGGACACTTGAACCTTAACCTTCGGAATCGCGGTTCAATCTCCATGGGCAAGCTTGTCGCAATTCAATGGGTTCCAAATCCAGGCAAGAAGACGAAGGTCAGACACATTGACGGTGACAAGCTCAACAACCGTAAGGAGAACCTCGAGTGGTTCTAAGAGTAAAAAAATTTTATTTTAGGGGGAAACCCCGAGTAAATTTAGGTGTTTAGTTCATTAAGTGGGTTAAATTAAGGGTAATTTGGACAATTAGCTCCCGACCTCTGAATTGGACTCTTTCGTCATCCCAGTTGCGTAGGAGGTCGTCCCAGAGGAGTTGGTAGAATTGCCAATCCAAGGACGATTTGTCCTCCCAGGCATTGAGGATGTACTGCTCGTAGAGTTCATGACCTCTGCCTTGCACCAGACACCCTCTCCCTTGGAACGTAAGGCTTCTTCGAAGTGCTCGAATGCGATTGGCTGCGTGACCATCTGAAATGACACTTTTTGTCCGTTTGGTCAATGTTTGTGTCTCGTGCCATAGTCGACGAAAATACAAACAAACAGGTTATATATGAGTTTGAGACCAAGAATGGTGTAACTCGACCTGTCCGATTCAAATTCGAATAAAAATTTTTTATTTCATGCAATGTTTAACTATTTCACCATCTTCTTTAACACCCCAGTACTTCCTTTTCGATATTACATGAACTTCGGTGAAAATTTTGTCCAATTTGAATTGACCCATCTTTTCACCGACCATGCCCATTTCAATGAGTTTGTTATAGCCTTCTTCGTTCGTCATGAGTGCGTCAATGTTCTCATAGTAAACCTTCACTTTGGATTTGACTTCCGAGAAGAATTTGTTGTAGTTGTCAAGGACTGCCTTTGCGAACTGAGGGTAAGACCAATGTTCGACAATAGGTTTTAATGTGGTTACTAAGCCACTTTGACCTTGAGTGAATTCGTACTTCAAAACAAAAGGAGAAAACCTTTCAACAAAGTTGTCGACCTTCTCATAATGTTTACTCTTCATCTCTTGAGGTTTCTTTATGGAATATCCCCATGTCGAATTCATAAGCAATTTGAGTGTCATTGCAAGTTTGGGGTTTGAAGCTTTCCTAATATCATACAGTTGTTGTATGACTTTTCCAACTGTATAGTTCCTTCCTGGGAACTCACCGTCTTCGTTTGGAATTCCAGTCGGGATATATTGGACAAACCTCATGTATGCAGCGTTAAGGTCGACATAGTATATCTTTTCATATGAGTCGAACTTGTCGCAACCAATTGGTCCAGTTTGTGGAAATTCAAGTGAGTCTCTTATCTTCTGAGAAACTTCTCCTGTTATCTCATAAACATCGTCGAAGCAACCTGTTTCATATAAAACCTTCTGACCTAACTCAGATGCTCTCCAATACAATTTGACGTCAATTGGATGTCTCAATGGAAGTTTGTTTATAGCATCTTGAAGTTCTTGCAACCTCATTGGAAGTTCTTCTGGTTCAGGTTGGTATCCGAACAATCCAACTCCTTTTGGAATTGTGTACTTCTTTTGTACTAGAACTTTGTC